ACATGATTATATATTAAAAGCCTGCTTGAATAAAAATGTCTTTGCCAATTGGCGAAAAGAAAGCAGGAAGGGGGCCAGTTTCAAATGTTGGGAGCAGCCACCAAGAAGGCTCTCTCTTGTATCTTCACCAAGTGAGCCTGTGATGGTGGTGGGACCAAGAGAAAGCCTTCCTCAGTAGATCGTAGGACCCTTGCAGGTTCATATGAGGAGATACGGTCTTTCAGATGGTCTGGAACTAAGCCATGTAGGGCTTTATAGGCCATGACCAGCACTTTGAATTATACCTGGAAATTAACCAGTGAAGCTGTTTCGACAAGGGAGTTACCGGTATATGCTCCTTATAACTGGCCCCAGTCAGCATTTTGGCCACTGCATTTTGGACCCGCTGAAGTTTCTGAACAATTTCCAAAGGCAGGCCCACATAGGGCATTATCACACGGGGAGTCTCGGGGAGAAAGTAGAAATAAACCGGACGAGCGGAAGACTTTAATTTATGGGATTTGTCCTGTTCCGCCTCGTCTGATAACTACATTCGAATTTAAAAGGGGGTTAATTTGAATGAAAACCTGATCTTTTCATTTTCGGGATTTTTGAGGAAATGAAAAGATCAGGTTTTTGTTCGAATTAACCTCCTTTTAAATTCGAACTTAGTTATCAGACGAGGCGGAACAGGACAAATCCCGTAAATTAAAGTCTTCTGCTTGTCCGGTTTATTTCCACTTTCTCCCCGCGACTCCCCATGTGATAACGTCCATAGCATGCATTACACCCCCCTGTCTCCTTGGTCATTTTCTTGCCTTGACTGTATCTGAAAACCTCATTTTTTGTTGTGCCTTGCTTGCCTAGCCAGCTCATTAAAGTCATTAAGAGTTTTAGCTTTCCTTAGACTACTTCTGCAAGCTTGGGCTACACTTCTGTCCTCTTCCTTGGCGATTCGTCCTTCCTTCCACTCTTTATACATACTCTTTTTTCCTTTTCACTTCATCCTTGAGCTTGCTGTGCAGCGTCACCAACAAGAGCAAAAGACAAAAAAGCAAAGTTAGATATGTCAGTATGTGTGTCAGATTATTATGCAGACCATCAATTATTACATACCCCATCAAATGAATATGAGATGACCCTATTCAGTAAGGAGAAGATTCACTCATAATGGTTGTAATTGTACCTCTAAGTACGGTACTAATCCCTGAGGATGAATTGACAGATTTGTAGCAGAAAGAATGATGCAAGTAAACAACAAAAGCAAGACAATTACTTTCTGTGGTGAGTTAACTACTCCCAGTCCCTACTGACTCTAATGTCAAGATCCAATGGGACACTTCCATGTCCATTGGTATACTTTTGTATCTAACACCAGTAGAACTGAGAGTTTGTTCCTTTCATCCTTCCTGCAGTGACCATGAGGATTTCTCAGTCCCACACAGCAGATTTTTAGCTCCATAGGAAGGAAGGAGACTTGCTTTTTCTGTTAGGACGTTATCACACGGGGTAAATCTGTTGGTTAATCCACACAAATCCC